TTATATATATATATATCACGGTGCTAAAACCACTTCACCAAAAGCCAACACACACCATAGCTAAACTCAACTAGACAACGATCACTTTCACATGTGTATGTATACTCTTGTTGTATTATTAAAACACTACTCAACCAAATATTTTCTTGCATGCCCTTTGGATGAGCAGACAGCCACCTCCAACTAATGAAACGGATGCAACGCCCCTTTCTTTGCTTGGCCTACCTAATTTCTCTACCGATGGTATTAAATTTTGTCTATTCTTGTATTCACATTAAGGTCCGCGTATATAAAAAATTGTGATTGCTGTGAATATTAATGGTCAATATTCCATGTACTCGTCAACCCTATATCGGTCCCGAACATAGTGTATGTATGAATATAGCTTAATGGTGTATATGCGTGACAGATTCTTTCTGTTTGTGGTGTGTTTTCATATGTACTTCTATTTTCATATTTACTAGGTGAATGTTCATAGCAATGCTCCCTGGCTGTAGGACTTCTGTCATTTGATATATTGATATATTTTAGACACGGTTCGTCCGATTGCTTTGCGAAATGTGTCATGTGTGCGAACTACTGAACAAGGTCCGTATCGATTCGGCTACTTGCTCGTCTACCTTTTTTTCACACTGTGGCCAGTAGAAGCTCAGTATATCTATACGTCTCCTTTAGAATCACCGCATTCCGAGTTGTATGAGCTGCTCGACTGTGTACCTTTCTTGTCTATCTGCCTGTCTGGTCCATCTCGCCGCTGTGTTTAAATAGTAGTCGTTTGCTTTGCTCGTGGGTTTGCTGCGTGTGCGTACTCACACTTCTGCATCGTATGCCCCTGTAGTGGAATTAGACCTCGTTTACCCCGCTGCAGTGTTTGTATAGGTACATACATTGGAGTCGTCTATTCAATGTGTTATTCGCCTTGCTGTTCCCATGATTTGCGTTTTGCCAGTCGAGTGCTGCATATCGCCGAATTGAATGAAACGCGATGCCTGCAATTACTCAGTTAGCCTTGGCGCGTTCTGTCACGTTTCTACCTGAGTACGCACAATTATTTCTTTCATCAATGTTCCATGTGACTCACACTATGTCTGTATATCACGTCTCATGCTATTTGAACACATGGTTCCATGTGACTTACACTATGTCTGTATATCACGTCTCATGCTATTTGAACACATGGTTTCATGTCCCAAGTAACTCACACCACACATTGTCTTTTTATCACGTCTCATAGTATTTGTGCACATGATTTCATGAGCCACGCGACTAACACATTGTCCAAATATTTACGACTCATAGTTTTTGTACATATGATTCGTATATAGTGATGCAAACCCCGGAATTCACTTCGATGTTGCTGCTCAGCACATTGGGTATGGCTACGGCTGTGGGAATCGCCCTCGTACAAACACGCCGATTGAGGACTCTGCAGCAAACCATGTCACAAAGGTAGTATTCGTTTTAAGTTACTATAAATATCTCTCTGTGTGTGTGCGTGTCTATTCGTGCATCTCATTTGTATTTTTCTAATCCAATACTAAATATTCCGGTCACTGCAAAACTTGAAATGGTGTGCGTGTACATTTGGTTTATATAAAATATATATTTATATACATATGGTTTACACGCACCCAATATCTAATAATGATTGGTCATGCAATTGAACCTGACGTGTTGTGTGTATATTGATTTATCCAGGTATAGCGTACAACTGGCACAAATAGAGAGCAGATTAAAAAGAGATGCCGTGGAGGCAAAGGGGGCAGGAGTCCGAGCAGTTGCGACAGACATGCTTGGTGAGTATTTGGCATGAGTATATATATGTATATATATATATATATATATATACATATACATATACATATATATAATTATATATATAAGACTATTTATATATATATAAATATATATATATTTATGTATGTATCTATGATATATATATATATATATATATATATATATATAGTGTGTGTGTGTGTGTGT